GGCTGCTCCACCGATCGTATGACGTTATGCAAATTTCAAGCCTGAATCTGGCCGGTAATGTGAGGGCGCTTACACTGATGGCAAGTCTGTTGGGATTTCGCACTCACACGACTTTCGCGTTCACCCCTCGTTTACGCAATTTATATTTATTTTTCAAGAATTTTTCATCGGAATTGCAACAGGCTGCAAGCAAGTCTAAAACACTATTAAATAGTGAAAATATGTTGCAGAAAAAATTAATCGTTTACAGTACATTGAGTTTGGATTCCCTTGCTTTGTTCATCATCTTGTAATGGATATTGTTTCCTACAATGTCATGAACATAACAATAGCTGTCATTTTTCATGAACTTGATGTCTGCTGATTTGGGGTTCTTTGCCAACACCAGACAGCCATCAAATATTTGATGGTAAACGTGGCGAGAGAGAATTCTTTGCCACCACCCAGCCATTAAATATTTCGCAGTAAACTTGGTGAGGGGGAGAATTCTTCGCTAATACCACACAGCCATTAAATATTTGATGTGAAACTTGGTTAGAGGAGAATTCTTTGCTAACACCAGACAGCCATCAAATGTTCAGAAGTAAACTTGGTATGGGAGATTTTTTTTTTTTTTTTAAACACAAAATTATTTAAAATATATATACTGATATTTCTGCTGTAAACTCAGGAAATCCCACCAATTTGTAAATACTTGTAATGACTTTCAGGTTCAATTCTAGCCCAATACAACCCACCTTCCCCATTTCTCATAATAGACTAATCCATTTGTATGGGTCATCCTATTATACTGCAGAGTATAGGGGTAGATAGATTTTTTAACACATCTTCAGTTCTCTTATTCTCGCTGGCATGTAATAGTTAATCAAGTTTTGTGCTTTTTTTTGTAATTATATACATTTTTTTTCATTTTGAGAAGACTACATGTAATTATTATAAAGTCTATTTTTAAATGTTGTGTAGTAATTTTAAAAAGTTTACATTTTTTATGATACCTCAATTCACCCACTAGTAATGACAATAGGGTATGACATCACAGTACCCCTCAGGATTCTGGTGAATCTTTAATAGTACTCTTAAGCAGTATAGGAGATAGAAAGTGTTGGTAAGCCGTAACAAACTCTTGGGTTGCATTGCAGTACCCCTCAGGATTCTGGTGAATCTTTAATAAAATTCTTAGCAATGTAGTAAATATATTAAGGGTTAGTAAGTTAGAAACCAATGACTGTGGCATCATGACAGTACCCTTCAGCATTTTGGTACTAATACTTCTTAGCATTGTAATAAATGTATCTGGTAGTAGTCAAAATACCCAGGACTTAGGTGGCCCCTAGCCTTGTATACCATCTAATCATACCCCCTAGCCATGCATACCATCTAATCATATCCCTTAGCTTTGTATTCATTTGCCATCATACCCCTAGTCTTGTATACCATCTAATTATACCCCCTAGCCTTGTATTTGTATACTAAATAATTATACCCCCTAGCCTTGTATTTATCCAATCATACCTCCTGACTCTCATCATATACCATCTGATCATGCCCCCTAGCCTCAAGGTTGACAACAAAAAATAGATTTATTCATATTGTCTTCAACATGTTGATTGAGATAATTCTTGCAACTTGTGGAAGGTTTTTGATGGCAGTCAACTGGAAACATTGTGCGATTTCCTGATCATTATTTGTCAACTAAAGTTGCCACTAGTGTCTACTAAGTGTTTGGAGTTCAATGTTTTGTATTTTGATTATTCAAAGTAACCCTGTAGTTAAAGATGGGGGAACACCACCAAGATCCTTTTCTTAAATACTGCTTACTAACCTGCTTGTTTTGGGGAGTCCTGCATAATTACACAAACTCGGCCTAGGTTCCTTTCTGAAATACTGCTTACTCTTCCTGCCTGTCTTGGGGAGTCCTACATTTTTATACAAACACCGCCTTGGTTCTTTTCTGAAATACTGCTTACTCTTCCCGCCTGTCTTGGGGAGTCCTACATTTTTATACAAACACCGCCTTGGTTCCTTTCTTAAATACTGCTTACTCTTACCGTCTGTCTTGGGGAGTCCTGTGTGATTGTACAAACGCCGCCTAGGTACATTTCTTAAATACTACTAACTCTTCCCGCCTGTCTTGGGGAGTCCTCCATAATTGTACAAACTCTGCCTAGGTTCCTTTCTTAAATACTGCTTACTCTTCCCGTCTGTCTTGGGGAGTCCTGTGTGATTGTACAAACGCCGCCTAGGTACATTTCTTAAATACTACTAACTCTTCCCGCCTGTCTTGGGGAGTCCTCCATAATTGTACAAACTCTGCCTAGGTTCCTTTCGTAAATACTTTCATACATAATTACACAAACTCACTGCCTCGGTTGAAGATACTTTATTTCCTGCTTAATCTTCCAACCTGTCTTGGGATTCCTACTAATAGTTCAATGTAGGATACTAAAAACTTCATTTCCTTTCTCAAAAACATTTTCATCCCAGTGAAACATTTGTAGATCACAATCTGGCTAAAAACACTGATAATATTTATTAAGTTAAACATGTCCCCAATAATATTTAATTGTGCTTTAAAAGGGATTAGGTGAAAACATAGCACATTAGGTTTTTTATCATAAATTGAATTTGTGAAGTTGCCCTCAAAGTTGAAAAAAGCCTACCTAAGGAGGTTGAACTTTGTATGGGATTAGTCACATTGATACCTGTAGTTTAAACCGAATGGGTAGTCACCTGCGCACGCGCGGGAATGGCGTACCACGTGACGATAACACGAACTAAAAACACAAAGGCTCATGGGTGGAAGCCTGTTTGTAAACAATGACAGGCCATAGCTATCTGACGAATTCGCAGGTGACTAACTCCCCCCGCTTTATGTGAAAAAAATTAGGTAGATTTTTGCCGACATTGTACATGACCCCCCCCCCTCCCCCCCGTTTACCTTAACCACTTGGGTTTTGTCTACCTTAAACAGCCATATTTTGTCAACATGAACCCCCTAGCTTACATTAAGATGCACTATTATGTCTACGTGAACCCCCCCCCCCCTGCTTACCTTAAACTGCACTCTTGTGTATCGGTCATTGCACAACAATATCTCTCGTACAGTTAGTGATTGACAAATGTGTACCGAGGGGAGGGGGGTATTTTTGAAGACAGTATTTATAGTCATTTCATGATGGTGGTATTTGCTCAGAATTCACTGGGGGGTGAGAATAACTTGTCTCAACTGTTGATAATTAATCTTAGATAAAAAAAAAAAAAAACCGAGTAAGCACCATGGCTTTCTGCACTTACCCTGTGAACAGATTCCCAATCCTAAATTCAAGTGGTTGAGTGTGAGCATTATGGGTCACTTTATTAGTAATTTGGAAGTATTGGTTATTTACTTTTTGTATTAAAAGCCAAAATATTTTCTGGGAAGTGCCAATTCAGGTCGATTGATGAGTTATCCTGTTGATTATTGTCTACAATGTTAACTATTTATACAGTCATCCCTATTGGTGAATGGTATCACCCATTCCTGTCTACCATACCTGCTGGGCATTATAGTATTGGGGTGCTGTGATTGGTTCTGAGACTAGGTAGTTATTGAAATAAGTTAACACTTCAGGATGTATGTATGTGATAAAAACAGGGTTATTATATTTACTAAGTGGTTGTCTTCCAACTTTGATGGGGGTTATTATCTCAATACAGTCCACCTTTCCAGTGGCATTTTAACTGCTGCCATATTTGGGTGATACCATTTATGGTAGGGGCGACACAATAGTGAACACTTCAATATTATAGTGTAAGTATCAAATTTAAAGAGTTGTTATTTTGAAGCACACACAGTTGTCCTATATTGTACTAAGGAATGCCTATATGTATGTCTGTAGTAACAAATATACCATATATTGTCTATATTATTGTCTTGTCATTAATGCCCTCAACTTGTCATGGAGTGCAAGATGTATTGCATTGAAGGATGCTGTAGAGCAGGCCATTAGCCAGGAATTTGCAATTGCCAGTCAAAAACATTTTCATGAAA